TATTTTTTAGTATTGCCTGTTATTTAGCATTATTACTGTTTTTATTTTATCAAGATATACCGCTTAGTTTAAAAGTTATTATGTTTTCTTTACAATAAGTAATTGGAAGAAAAAAAATTCTATAAAAAATTAAAAAAAAATCTCAAAAATTTTTTGACCTCTTTTTTGTCGATAAAAATAGGTCTAGTTTCATCTATTTTCATATGTACACTTTAACGTGACTCACACTGTATAAGCATGCATAAAACAAACAAAAGCAGTAACAAGTACTGATATACTGATCAACTGCCCGACTAAACTATCGGCCGACGAAAAATGGTCTGCGCCTAGGCTAAGGCTTAATACCAATACCGGAATCCTCTAGACTCTAGACCCACTAAGATACCGATGAGTAAGCAAGCAGTCACCGGCACCGGTTACAACATTGGCTGCGCATGCGTCACTGCTTTGATAACATCCTTTGTGCCGAGTTTGTGTTTAAGTTTCGTTAGCTTAGGTAAGCTAGGCCTTAGACACGATAAGGTAGTGACTAAGTCTATTTATTCTGAATTTAATAAACATTTATACGTACTGAATATAATATAAACGATTACTCCTTCAGTTACGTTTCAAAATGTAGGTACAGTCGCAGAATGAAAAGGTTCGTCACCTTAGTGTCGGTTTTCGCTTGCACTAGGTACTGTAAGAGTCAAACCTGCCAACATAACAGTGCAAGAAACAGTGCTGCTAACATTTAAATAAATATGACGTTTGCTAACGAATAAGGTTTTGCTTGTTTATTTTTCTATCCCATCAGTGCAATGCAATGATGACATTGACCAATTGACATTAGTTTTTTTTATTTAATAGAAATAATAATAGCAGGTNCGTCACCTCGGTTAGTTGGAACAGAGCCACCTGGTGACGATAATATGCAGTTGGTTTAACTTTGGATGACACGAGATTCTTTTGAATGGGACGACTAATTCTAGTTCATGCGATAATGCTCGTTCGTTATGACGTCTACTGGTGGACAGAGACCTTCCCCAAACGCTATGCTACGCACGCATGCGATAACACTCAAATGGGATGAAGTTCACGCTCTCCGCTTGATAGGACTAGGCTAACGTCATCTGTTACTTGGGACAGTTACGTCCGACTTTTTATTACTAACAATGGATATTTTATCAATAAGTAGTTAAATGAATAAGAATTATTAAGATGCTCTAGCTAGACTCATAGGTACTAGAGGCATGGCTGTCAGAACTATCAGGCCAGCCCGCTTCAGACTGGCGCCGCTTAAGGACAAGGAATCTTGACCGTCGCTTCATGGGGATAGATTATATCTATGTTGTTGTAATAGGTGCTATTTTGCAATAATACTGTCTAGTTTGATGATATGCTGTCACCTGTAAATATTCTCACCTGGAAAATAAAGAGCTCCTTATAAAGCGGGTTCGAGTGTGCTCGGCGCGTGGTGGACTTGCAGCGACCCATCTCCATGCCCAGCGAACTGATGAGGCAGAGTTTCACGTAAGTATCCGGTGCCTTGTTGGGCGACAGCTTGCGGAAGTGCGTGCCTTTTATTATCTGTTGGGGCGAAAATAATAACGACATCATCAATAAATCCAACCAAAAACTGACACTAGAGGGTATCATTTAAGAGTCTGCTCAGATGGAGACGCTGCCTCACTCTAAGGCACGACTCGCCACAAGGCAAATTTCGTCGCCGCGGAGCGAGACAGATTTTGTCGCCTTACTTACTTCGATTCACAATGTGTCTCGACCCTGTCTCTCAAGCATCGTGTAATAAAGCTACTCAAAGCTGATGACGGGCTTGTATAGACTCCTTGCAGTCCATAGGCCGCTCCTATCCGGCTCGAAGGATCAATATTGCGGTAATATGATGTAAAAGAAATGTACTGGCAAAGACTCCTGAGTCTTTGCCAGTACATTGTCCATAGCTACGGTACGTTACGGTAATGCCAGGGCATCGGATGGCTTATACCTCTGGAAAGGTCTATAACTGACCTCGACAGACAAGTGGCCAGTGGTGGGGCTATACTGGAGCCCCAGTAGCAGCTCGGGCGCCGAGCGCGTGCTGCAGCACGACGAGGCGGAGTCCGAGCGCGCCAGGCTGCACGCTTCGCCGCCCGCGCCGCTGGTCGTCGTCACTGTGGCGAGGATAGCCGGTTCTCTACTGGTGGAGATCTCACTGGAGACTCGAGGCAGCCTTTGGGAGCAGCATCGTGACGAACGGCCGCCACGACCCGCGGCTGGTTAAAAGGAGATGCTGCCTAACCTGAGGCCAGACTCACGCAAATTTCGTCGCCACGGATTGAACCAGATTTTGTCATCTCACTCCGATCCGCAACGTGGCTCGAACTTCTCTCTCCTTCAAGCATCGTAAACTTAAGCTACTCAAGTGTATACGAGCTGATGACCGGCTTGAAAGGACTCCTTGCAGTCCATATGTCACTGGTTCATATCCGGCTCAAAGGACCAATATTGCTGCAATTTGATGTAAAAACGATGCATCGCTAGTGGGGACACGTCATATTACACCCAACACATGGAGTGGCTTAGCTCCAGCTTTGGCGAAGCCAATATTACTGACCTCAATACAACAGCAGCTCGGGGGTCGTCACCGTAGCTATGGACGATGGACTGGCAAAGACTCCTGGCATTGGATGGCTTATAGCTCTGGAAAGGTCTATAACTGACCTCGACAGACAGATGGCCAGTGGTGGGGCTATACTGGAGCCCCAGTAGCAGCTCGGGCGCCGAGCGCGTGCTGCAGCACGACGAGGCGGAGTCCGAGCGCGCCAGGCTGCACGCTTCGCCGCCCGCGCCGCTGGGCGTCGTCACTGTGGCGATGGAGGATGGGCTGGCCAGGACTCCGGACATGGAGTGGTTGAGTTCCAGCTTTGGGAGCTGTAAGGGAGAAAATATACATCATTATCTGACGGAGTGGTCAGTGCACACCCTAATCCTATCATAGAAGCTGTAGAGGAAAGATAAACAAGTCATTATTGCGCATTTTTTAAGTCTGTGCACGCTTCGCCACCCGCGCCGCTGGGCGACGTCACTGTGGCGATGGAGGAGGGGCTGGCGAGAACTCCGGACATGGAGTGGTTGAGTTCCAGCTTTGGGAGCTATAAGGGAGAAAATATACATCATTATTCCAAGTATGACACTAAAGTGCGGTCAGTGCACACCCTAATCCTATCATAGAAGCTGTAAAGGAAAGATAAACAAGTCATTATTGCGCATTTTGTAAGTCTGTGCATACACGCATCACCGCCCGCGCCGCTGGGCGACGTCACTGTGGCGATGGAGGATGGGCTCGCGAGAACTCCGAACATGGAGTGGTTGAGTTCTAGCTTTGGGAGCTGTAAGGGAGAAAATATACATCATTATTCCAAGTATGACTCTAAAGTGCGGTCAGTGCACACCCTAATCCTATCATAGAAGCTGTAAAGGAAAGATAAACAAGTCATTATTGCGCATTTTGTAAGTCTGTGCATACACGCATCACCGCCCGCGCCGCTGGGCGACGTCACTGTGGCGATGGAGGAGGGGCTGGCGAGGACTCCGGACATGGAGTGGTTGAGTTCTAGCTTTGGGAGCTGTAAGGGAGAAAAAATACATCACTATCTGACGGAGTGGTCAGTGCACATACTAATCCTATCATAGAAGCTGTAGAGGAAAGATAAACAAGTCATTATTGCGCATTTTGTAAGTCTGTGCATGCCTCGCCACCCGCCCCGCTGGGGGTCGGTCACTATGGCTATGGAGGATGGACTAGCGAGGACTCTGGACATGGAGTGGTTGAGTTCTAGCTTTGGGAGCTGTAAGGAAGAAAAAGACATCATTATTCCAAGAATGTGACTACGGCTACAGAGCGGTCAGTGCACACCCTAATCCTATCATAGAAGTAGTAGAGGACAGATAAACAAGTCATTATTGCGCATTTTTTAAGTCTTTGCAAGCCTCGCTACCCGCCCTGCTGGGGGTCGTTCACTGTAGCTATGGAGGATGGACTGGCGAGGACTCCGGACATGGAGTGGTTGAGTTCCAGCTTTGGGAGCTATAAGGGAGAAAATATACATCATTATTCCAAGTATGACACTAAAGTGCGGTCAGTGCACACCCTAATCCTATCATAGAAGTCGTAGAGGACAGATAAACAAGTCATTATTGCGCATTTTTTAAGTCTTTGCATGCCTCGCCACCCGCCCCGCTGGGGTCGTTCACTGTAGCTATGGAGGATGGACTAGCGAGGACTCTGGACATGGAGTGGTTGAGTTCTAGCTTTGGGAGCTGTAAATAAAAAAATATACGTCATTATCTAAAGAGCAATTCGTTTCCATTATATTGGCTAAGTCAACAAAGTCGTGATGGACGAAGGGAGCTTTGAAGGACTCGAGCTTTGAAGTTATAGAGGCAAAAGGAATGCGTCATTAATATTATTACGTGATCACAGATGTGGTAACCACATACCCGAAGACACACTTTTCAGATGTTACCAAACTCGATAGATTTCATGTGAAAAGTTTTGGGTTTTCATATCCAGAATTTTGTATTCTTTTAGAGAAGTTGTGTCTTGGTAACTAATAATCATTAATAATGATAACTACCTAATGCAAAACTATTTTAACCTGTAGTGTGGGCTGGTGGTGCTGTCTAGGCATCAGTTGCAGCCAAAGACTGTTTTCGAGCTCGAAGTTGAGAGCCGCAAAGCTGACGGCCGCCTCGCCCACGAGCCGCTGTCTCCGCATCCGCTCGCATCCGTAAATGCGGATGCGGAGTCCCAATCCGTGGACATCCTCTGTAAAAGACATAAAAGTTTACATTTGAAATGTCACTCACATGGCTTACGTTATAATAAGCAACTTTTGCTGTCTTTTTTACGGGAAAATCGCTGCAGACTACCTCTCGGAAATGAACAAGATGCTCTTGAGGTAAGGGTAACCGAAAAAAGTCACAACCCATCAGAGAAAAAGGAAATGTGTATTTACCTGGATTGATTTTATGCAGCACGAAGCTTTCCATGTATTGCGGGTTTTCGCCATTACGAATTTTAGATTTGAATTTCTGCTTCTTCAGTGGCAATAAGACTATCCGAACCTGAAAATTAATTTTAAACTGTTTAAAGAACTGCAATGAATGAGAAATATAGGTTGGTACTATTGTTAGTCCTTTGCTATGACTGATGTATAATTAGTATTGATAATGCAGCGTCACCTTTTGGAGGATAGGAATTTTCATATAACGATCTCCATGAGGCTTTTTCAAATGTTTCTAGTAATTTCTGCAAAAACTGTTAAGCGAGCTAAAGTATGCTTGTTTTAGGATTAGTAGTGGATTCTCCACAATGGCCAGCGGTCGACGCCTTTATAAAATAGGCTCGAACACTGCCCAATTCACCAGTTTTACTACAGATATCGAATTTTAAGGACGGGGAGGTGTTAATGGAATAGTCTACTGGTGGAAAATGTGTAAGTCAGCCACTGGACTCAAACCTGTGTCTGCAGCATCTGCCCCGTGGTCCTAGGAGGCAAGCCGCGTGCCTGAAGCATATGCACCGTCATGGTCCGCACGGGCGCGTCGTATAGCAGGGTAAGCTCCACCAGCCCGCGCTCGGACGGGCCGCCGCCAGCCTCGCCGCAGAGCAGTGATGTGTCCTGACAGGAAAAGGTGAAGAAAATTACATTATATTTTACTTATACTGAACCTGTTTTTTGGTTCGAGATGCGTAGGAGAATAGCAATAAAGATTTGAATAGGAAATTTACACACTAGCCCCTATTGTAGTCTAGTAGTTTGAGAGTTGGACTCTCTCGTTCGACTCGGCGCTTGTGGGTTCTCAGGGAGGATGCACATTGTACATTGAGTAGAAACATCTTTTATGTTTGGGCATTGGAGGGTGATGATGATTGTCCGGTCAGAAAATTAAATATGATTTTAAGCTTCGGAGAACACGTACGGTCCTAATGAGCTTTTCATACGGCTATGTGGTTTGTGTAGAAGAAGATTGAATAAAAGTTAGACTATTTTCGAATTCAAGATGCAGTGTTTCATGGTAAAATAAATTACGATTTCGATAGACAGATAGGAGGTACGACGTACGAAAAGTAATTTTTGTGGCAAAGTGGAATGTCAGACGCTACCTAGAGTTCTATGTATGTTACTTATAGTGTATTCCATATTATGTTGTATGTTTACCAGTATCCAACAAAGAGTACTCACATTATGTGCGATGACATCGCTATCAATGCTGCTCTGCGCTTCCAGCGTGTGGATGTACTCAGCCCGCTGCGGCGTGACGTCATCGATCCTGGTCTCCCGGATCGTGGTCTCCCTCAGGGCAGTCTCCACGAGCTCCACGTCACACTTGGCCGGTGCCAGGTTCTCATTCTTCTCCTCGTAATGGCATTCCACCTCCTCTTTATCCTAGAAACAAGGTATTGTCTAGTCATATTGAACTGCCTGTGGGCATAAGGCAGGGAGGTATGTTGGCCCACTTGTATTTAATTTTAAATCTTCTAGAATTCTGACTCTGACTTTATGGTAGTCTGCTGCTGAATGAGCAAGCAAATATTTAAACTCCTTTTTCTTCGAGGCCGATATAATGCCTGGAGGAAATGTCTAAGTGTCTTTGTTGAATTAATCATGCATTACCTAATAAATTAGATAAAAAATTTAAAACTAATTAATTTTATCTATAACTTTGGAAACAGGTAAGTATAAAAAATGATTTTATGGATTTAAGTAGACATTTAAGAATTTCTAGTGATCACTACGTGTGGAGCAATTCAACTAATTAACATCAATTATGAGAATTGTAATAAACCATGCGATGAATATTTTTTTATTCGCAAACAGGGGAAATTTAATTTCACTTTAAAATTTTCACAATTTACTCTCAAATTCTTACCACGAAAATCATTCTCCTTTACAGAAGTATATTTAAATTTTGTATAATTTTAAACACATCGTTTCTTTTAAGTATTTTGGTGGCTCTCCGAGTTTTCCACGAATGTATTTATAGTAGGAATGCCAGCATTCCACTGACTGCAAGATGCGCGCTGCACAATATCGCGCTTGAATTATTTAGGCCGAATGATACACTAAAGATGTACTACATAAAGGACATACATTCTACACAACACAGACATCTCGTGTGCGATCCTCACCTGTTGTATGCGCAAACGCAGCTCGTCGTCAGAGTCGGAGGCTTCGAACGTGAATATTCGTTCAGGGTAATGGATCGGTTTCGACAAAGCATCTAAAACAACACAGACATACAGTAGGCCTCACATATTCATACTAATAGGCAAATCCACGTGACAAAATGAAATTAAATAATAATGAAAGAATTTTTATTAAGAAAATAATGCGTGAATTTGACCACAGTATAGCCTAGAATGTGGCCAACCGTATGAACAATATAAATACGCAATACCCTACACATTATATAGCGTATATTCTATGTCTACCGACTAAAATGACTAGCATAGGTCCTATAGTATACAACTCGCTATAATTTTCTAGAAACATTTTAACTACTAATGTACTATTCAAAGGACAAAGAAAGCCTTCGAGTCGCGGCCTTGACGACCAGTCGCCCTTAAAAGTATGAAACAACAACTAAAATATTAACGTCCCTGTTCATATTCTATTCTAACCACTATACATAGGCTTCCAAGGGCAACGTGCTAACACGCACGCAGTGTCCAATTAGAAGTTAATAAATTATAAGATTATTGCACCTACCTACAATCAATAACTATGACCATTTACCTATAACATTTCTTTAGAACTGATAATAATCTAGAAAACTAATGTTATTAGATTGCATATTTTATAGCGTAAACTTGTGAATCTACATAAAACACGTACTAGTTAGAGACAAAGGTAAGGTAATTGTTTATGAAGACTGATTATATCAACATAATTATCTGATTAATTAATCTATACTCTATAGGAAGAAAGTTTTAGTAAGAATAAAGATGGTTCTGAAGATTACTGGACGATGAAACAAATCGTATTACTGACCAAACTGAGCATTGTCGAGAGGGATGGCCGGGGCCACGACGCGCGGGCTCACGGCGAGGATGTCATCGCAGCACTTGCGGCCGAAGACGGCGGACGAGCACCAGCGCCGGCCCAGGAATAGCAACACCACGAGAACCACCGCCGCGAACGCCGCTACCGCGCTTATGTATGCCGTCGCCTCCACTGCACAACAATACAACAATCACGAACAATGCCAAAGCGCACCACTCAGCACCACAAAACAACGTTTACCATTAGAAGGGTTGATTACGCCAATGTTGGCTACCATTCTCGATCAGTCCGCTTCCCCAGACATCATCTTTAGGGATTCATGGTCCCCTTTCTTCACAATGTAGTTGGTTTTGCGACGTTTAGGGATCGGGCTGTGTTGGCAAGGTGCTACTGTCAAAGCCACGCATGCGCCGTCGCTTAGGGGCACGGCGGGGTGTGTGGAGGTATCTTTGCAGCTATAGGACGAAGGACCTGTGAGGGGCTGGCTATAATTGTTATACGTATAGGACAAAGCTAGTCGTCAAGGCCGAGGGCGACACGTGCCGCCCCCGGCCCTCGGAGATTAGGTCTGCTATAACACCATTCAGATGTTTATTGTGACCTATATGAATAATTTATCGGCTCAACGCGTAATTCTGAGCTTTGATTTTATGAGTCATGCATGTGGAATTGATTTTAGTTATAAAAGGGTCTAAATCAAGTTGCTCCTTTTTTAATGTTCCCAGAACTACCTCAACAGGGTGATACTTTGGGTAGGTAGGTGCTCACGTCCTCAAATAGGGAGTAGGTACTTAGCATCTGGAGAATGATTAAGCAAGCGCAGCTTATATTAGGACTTAGCAAAAATTTTACTGTAGAAATGAAAATGGTTCAGGTAGATACCTAACTATTTAAGAAAATAAGATGTTTCGCGTCTTTGACTAACAAGATAGAATGTTTTTTAACGCAAAAACTAAGTATGTACTACGTAAAGAACAAATTTTGAATAAAGAATAAATGTATAAAAACATCCAAGTGGCGGTCGTTTACTAGTTAGTTATGTTATAACTTATAACAAACATTGTGGCAGCTTCGCTTTACTACTAGTAAATTTGTTTTTTTTACGTTTCCTGATATTTTTATTTAAATTATGAACAATTGTAATTACTTTTTCATGAAAATTTTATCAGCTACTGCAAGATTTCAGAAAACTTAATTGAAAAATATGCTTCGTCCTTCGATGCATATTACTATTGTAAGGAATATTATTTAACGTAAATAATAGTGCCATCGCCATTTTATATTCTCCTTGTATATTAGTTACTATTTTTAATGAGTGTTGCAAGTCCTTCTGTTTTAAATATTAGCCATTAATTTGGTGAAATTGGAAGTGATTTAAACACATATTTTTTAATAGTAATTTTATTTATCGAAAACAAAGAAAAGCACAGACCACAGATGATTAAATGTAATAACAAAGCAGCTACCAATCCAAACCTAACTATTTATTTATCTCAAGAATATTGGAACTTACAAGAATAAGCCAATGTGAATTTGAATGTATTTTATTTTCTTCGATTATGAAATTAACAAATATCTTGGTGATCTTTCAGAGTTCTGTATTCATGCATGAATGTTATACAGTGCTATCCATTTTGTTTTTATGTCTATATAATTTTAGATCAGTTTTTGATTACAAAGTATTAGGCCAAAATGGATGATGTTTTATAAAATCGTTATTATCTTTTTTGTACTAATCTTAGGACAAATAAAAATTAATTTAGATTTTCAATCTTATCGCGATGGTTAAAATGTGTAATGGCTTATTTTAATTGGTATTCAATTATTTATACATGTAAAAGATTTTATACTTATTCTTATTTCAATATAATGAATGATTCAATTATTTAGATTAAATCTTCGATTCTATTTTTTTCATAAGCATGAAAATTATTATAATATAATTGCCACATAGAATTTTTCTGTAAAATGGCTTTTCAGGAGCGTTGTTTTGTACATCATATTTATTCTTAGAGGTAAATAGAGTACGTAGGTGGTAAAAATAAAAAATAATTATGAATAAAACACCATAATAATATTTTGAAAATGTTTTTTTTATTAACACTTACATTTTTACAGCGCTCCTAGCCAACAGAGTAATACTAAAAATGAATCGGTGTAAAGAACTGTCGAACGCAAAACAATGTTAGTTCTACAGTGTACGTTAACCAAACGGCTCACAAAGACCGGATCGTTACAATAATATCAACGACTATTGTCAGTGATGAACATCGTTCTCATCAAACAAGCACAGAAAGGTCACCCTAAAGAAACGAACGTCATTTAAATCTATAAACATTTCATATAATTTAGATTTATTAGTCGCTATAATGTTATATTTTACTTTTGTAACCATTATTATAATGTTATATGTATTCGTTACGAAAAATTGAAATGAATCCCTCCACTTGGTCCTCCTGCGGCGGAAGCTTCCCGGGGGCAGCAGGGCCAAGTGGCGACCAAAACAAGATGACTCTATCATAACTGTATAATTTTAAAAATTTCTAATTACGCATTCCTACGTTTTGTTATTATCTTTTAATTAAGAAATAAAATCTTACGTAATTACCATGAGCAGCCTATTTTAATAAATTTGACGAAATTCGCTAATGATCAGATTATTTATAAAAGAAAAGCGTCGTGTCCGGCCGCCTCGCGCGCCGCCACGAGTAGTCCGCGCGGCCGACCGCAAGCGTTCGCGTCTGTGTAATGCTTTATTTATCTACTTTTACAATTGAAAATACGGCATCAAAATTTCAACTACCTACCTAACAGTAAGCAGTAGTACACTAAAACTCAGGCACTCCACATCGACCTCTCACACACCATGCACCCGACCGAATTTTCAACTAAACTTTATTCACTCGAAAAATTCAACTTAATCTAATTTCACTTAAATTATAATAATAATAATGGCTTCTTAACTGTTAATTTTACAACAAATGCTTTCGTTGGCCGCCGAGCACGGAGCGCGGCGGGCGGGCTCGCGCCTCGGCCACGACCGATGAACTACCGCTAACGATCATCCATTACTTATTACATAAGTATGTGAAAAACAATTTATTAGTATTATTTTATTCTATATATCTTATAATGTCAGTGTTACTGAGGGCGTACTACTGTAACATGAAGTCCGAGTCGGCGGCCGCTTGCGCAGGTCGCGGCGGGCGAGCGAGCGTGCGCCGAGCGTGTACGCCGAGCGCCGCCGAGCGTGTACGCCGAGCGCCGCCGAGCGTGTACGCCGAGCGCCGCCGAGCGTGTACGCCGAGCGCCGCCGAGCGTGTACGCCGAGCGCCGCCGAGCGTGTACGCCGAGCGCCGCCGAGCGTGTACGCCGAGCGCCGCCGAGCGTGTACGCCGAGCGCCGCCGAGCGTGTACGCCGAGCGCCGCCGAGCGTGTACGCCGAGCGCCGCCGAGCGTGTACGCCGAGCGCCGCCGAGCGTGTACGCCGAGCGCCGCCGAGCGTGTACGCCGAGCGCCGCCGAGCGTGTACGCCGAGCGCCGCCGAGCGTGTACGCCGAGCGCCGCCGAGCGTGTACGCCGAGCGCCGCCGAGCGTGTACGCCGAGCGCCGCCGAGCGTGTACGCCGAGCGCCGCCGAGCGTGTACGCCGAGCGCCGCCGAGCGTGTACGCCGAGCGCCGCCGAGCGTGTACGCCGAGCGCCGCCGAGCGTGTACGCCGAGCGCCGCCGAGCGTGTACGCCGAGCGCCGCCGAGCGTGTACGCCGAGCGCCGCCGAGCGTGTACGCCGAGCGCCGCCGAGCGTGTACGCCGAGCGCCGCCGAGCGTGTACGCCGAGCGCCGCCGAGCGTGTACGCCGAGCGCCGCCGAGCGTGTACGCCGAGCGCCGCCGAGCGTGTACGCCGAGCGCCGCCGAGCGTGTACGCCGAGCGCCGCCGAGCGGGCGCCGCGCCGGGCCCGCCGCGAGCTCATCTACTTCAGGCAGAGATTCAACATACTCCAAGAGATTCATCAACTTGTCACAGTGACATGACATTCGAGATACTCAAATTACATTTCAAACGATTTCAATATAAAAATAACATGATTCACGATTTAAAATAATATGTGTATAATATTTTTTTCATCACAAATATCAAACTTCATGCTCCACTTATATACATACATAGTTCGTTAAAACAATAATAGTGATGTGCGCGGAGGGCCGGGCCCCGCGCCGCCGCGTGGCTCGGTCACGTTACGCACGAGCGAACATACAACACGACAGGTACGTGCCCCTGCGGAGCGATGCGGTAACAAGCAGTGAGAAGCGTACACGACAGCGATTACACATACACCGGAACGGCACCGCAACCTCTGTCAGTCTGGTGGCACGCAGCGCACAGCCCTAGGCTTGGCTCGCTGGAGGTGGAACGCCCCGGCTCGGCCGCACAGGACACTAAACGTAGAGTATTATAGCTGCTCGCTCGTCGCGCCTAGGGGCTGTGCGTTCCGTGTGTAAGAACACAAATGAAGTTTATGTACGCAGTAACTAAGTGATGCACGACGGTGTGGACAGTGGTCTTGGTGTTTAGTAGTAAGTCTCTTGTTCGAGCCAGCCGCCCGGGTTGCGGCGCAGGTAGAAGCGCCGGATCTCGTCGTAGATGAAGATCGACAGCATGAAGGGGATAGCGGGCAGCCACCACACGAACCTGGTAACACAGGGCACGGTCAGATTGGCCTGATACTCCATTACATCTTTACGACAATATACGACAGCGAAAGTAGCAAGAGAGAGAGTAAATCTAGTCTTGAGATCGAATAGCGAGGTGGTCTACGGCAGCAATAAACGCGTGCATGTAACGTGACACCGCGCCACATGATGTACACACGTGCACACGTTAGGTCGCGTCTTATATCAATAGGTCACTCTGACCATTGATTAGCCAAATGGCCCCTCTACTTTAAATCCATTTTGTTTCAGCATTGGCAAAGATTACTAATAAAATGCAATCTTGTCATGACCATGGTAACTTATATTGAACACATTGCAAACTTGTCATGACCATGACGCCTAATAATGAACACGTTACAATTTTGTCATGATCATTCACCTCAAGTTAGAGCACCCGCTGATCTCTAGGCAAATAGCATATCGACCACAAACTTCATGGCTTTCACCAAAACTTACTTGAGAGGGTACATCCGGAGACCCTTGTCCATTCCCGGCGTGTAAGACAGGAAGGCAGCGAGCGCCGTCTCAAAGATCAGGCCGAAGTTGAGGGCCCAGTTGCGCATGCCCTGGTGCACGATGGAGTTGCGGCGCGTCTTGCAGATGATCAGGTCGGCCCACTGTACCACCACGATGGACACGAAGAAAGCGGTGTGGCACGTGAACTCGAGAGCCTTGCGGTCGCGGTAGGTCTGCGTAGGAAATAAGGGTTGGAATAGTACACAATAGGATGAAAGCTATAAATAACTAGGGCTGTATCACATGCATGCATGACAAGTATACTTCAGAGTTACTCTCTTGAGTCAGATAAGAATTAAAAACTCTTTTAGGACTGGGCAAAGAAGCTTGAATTTTAGCTGAAAGTTGTGGACTTAGTACAGAATTGAAGCTATTGAAAATATGGTGATGAAGACTTGGGTAAATGGGTATTTGATACCATTTATCAGGCGCAACTTTTGTAAGTGAACTTTTCATTTCTTCAATACTCGATTACTTTTCACAAGTTGGTAAAATAGTGACGTCATCGTCTTGTAGGTACTGTCATACTAAATGTATGACAGAATCGCGGCTTGAAATTTTAAAAACATGCCACTTAATAGGTGTCAAATACCCTGTTACAAAAACTATGGTACACACCCATTCCTGTCCGTAGGAGTCGGTCAAGTCGTTGATAGCCTTGGAGTCCCACATCTTCCTGATGCCAAACAAGTGCAGCGGCAGGAATCCGTTCTCAGCCATGATCACGAAGTAGACGAAGAACCCGGCAGCGGCTTGGATCATTCCGATCTGCCCGTAGGCCATCGAGATCAGCCTGCCAACACCCACCCAGTGTTAGCTCATGTCATGGAGGCAATTGCATTTCGAAAGCGATTCTAATGTGTTGTCTTAAGATTGAAATTTGAAAGCAAGTTTGTGCATAGGGATTGATTCTAAAGACTATTTAATTTTTCTTTGTAAGAAGGCAGAAGGTATATACTTTTGTTTGCAAGGGAAATTGTTTAAAAAATTGTTTGCATACTTTGTGGATGGAACATGTCATTATGAGAAACGAAATTCAATCAAACAACATAGCATAGATTTTAATAGGATAAACAATAATTCTGATGACAATAATTCTTAATATAGATACGTCAGGTATTAAATTCTCATAATAAAATGTTGCATTAAAATGTTTATACTAAATCTGTTGCTGCAAAAATGTTCAAAACTACTTTGAAATGTATTACTCTAATTTCATGAAAATAACATCAACTAAATGTACGAATATTTTTACAACATCAAATTACATTTCAAGAGTTATTAGTATGTATGTACTCACCCCACGAACAACAATCATGCGAGGCGTATTAATTTAAGGGTTGAAGAGAGCTAAGCGCGATCAAGCTGTTAGTACGCCATTCTAGCTGGGCAACGTAATTGCAGGCAATTACAGGAAAATTGTTCACATTAGACGTTGCTGTGCTTGCGCAGAGAATGCTTGTAGTCGGGCTATTATCAAGGCTTCAGGTGTTCTTCGGGCTATATTGTAAACGCTGTATATTTCAGCATGAGATCAATTTACAACTTACAATTATTTTATAAAATAATTTTGAAGCGTAACGATATAGCCCAGATTTGTGTGCCTATATAAAAAGAGCATAAACAAGGAGAAGTTTAAAGCATTGAAATAAACTGAAAAAGCTTATGTACCCTACGTGTGGTGTGTGTGAGGCACAAGCGCTCGCAGCGGAGTGGTTCGCTTTTGTGGCTACAAACTATACTAAAATATATACTTGGTTATATAATACTATATACATATGGATATACCGCATCAAGAAGAAGAAAATATAATAAAATATAAATATACAGATGCTCCATGTCACCTAAATCATTCCTTGAAAACAAAAATAAACTGTTAACTCATTTTTTGTTTAAATATCGCTATAACTGTACTACGCTAACACGGAAAAATCACACAAATTAATCCACTAGTGTGTCACTAAACGCAGACTAGGCAAACCTCTAATTTTGTCGCTAAACGTGCATGAATACTGCGTTGTTTCATTTTATTGAAACGCTAATTTAAATATGGAAGAGTGAAGACTGAAGAGATAGAGAAAAGGACTAGCTCCCCTTCATCTATAAAGAATTCTATTAAAATATTAAACGTTCATTTTATTAGCTCTAAAGGAAAGGAAAATTTCAAAATCATAAAGTGAAAAGTGGTTTTCTATCATGTAGTATCTTCTTTGTATATTTATTGTGTATTTTATTAATTACACAAAGTTTTCATTTGAATCTTTTAATCTTCTATCATTTATTTGCGATTCTCTTTCTTGTTCATAGGGTATCGTTTGTTTTACAATTTAGATAGAAAGATTTTGGGTTGGGGTAATTTATTATCGAGGGTCCAATTGCTCAGTGCTTATTCGTTATTATCACTCTTCCACATCCAGTGTCAAATGGTAGTCTTTTTAATCAATACGAGTAGCCGCGCCGTCCGGATCGACATAACCGACCACCGTACGCATTTCTGCCAACACAAAGACTTTATCAATTCGCTAATTTAAAACCCTGATCGGTTCGTTTTGTCATGCCAATTTTTATTTTAAAATTTTACCATTGTTGGATGTGAAGGGGTATATGGTTTTTTTTTCAAAACGGCTGCTTTCTAATCGGTCATCTATAAAGCTTTTCAGCTGTTTACGATCCAACAATAGCAAAACGGTGACCCAGTGGTAAATCGTTTTTGGAATAGATAAATTGGCGAAGTGTTAATTCTTTGTGAATCGGTCGAGTCGTGTGCGATCGTTGGGCGGGCTGCTCGTCGTGTAACACCCAAATGATAAACTATAAGCATGGCCGCGGCGGGGCGGCGGGGGGTGCAGCCAACCTTCTGTTGACGAGGTTGTCGCGGTAAGGGTCCCGCGGCTGCCGCTTCATGATATCTGACTCGGGCGCCTCGTACGCCAATGATATAGCAGGCACCTTCGGTAACACCAAGCAATCAGCACAAACCAACAACACGACGGGCGTCGCGCGACTTACATATACATAATAAATATACACACCATTCCGGTAACGCCGCTCGGTACTACAGCTAGCGATATTACATATTCTCGAAAATTACCAATAATACTAATTTATATTTACTTAATTAGCTAGATAGATGTAAAAGTAGGAAAAAATTGGCGTGATTGAAAGTCATAAAAACTGGTTACCTTCCTTATAAGAATACAATATAATATTGAAATAACTACTCTAGTGATAGAAGTTACAAATAAGCCCTAGCAGCGTCTGAATTATATTGTTACATGTATTACATAATACGATTTAGTGTCGCTGTACCTATTGTATACAGATGGTCCTGTATGATATATACGGTTTGTGTGTTATGAAGCTAGTGGCGTAGTGAGTTAGGTTGAATGAAACGATTTCCTCGTGAAATAGATATCGTGTGGTGTGCATGGAGATCATGAGGTAAGAAATGAGATAAAAAGTAAGTAATAAGATAAACAATGTTAATAAAATTAATACAATAAAATTCCTTACTAGTAAATAAATAGTGAGTCAAAATGAAATTGTAAGTATAAAGGCGACTTGTATATTTGTTTATTAGTAAGGAAAAGAGACGATTAGATCGCATAGGTACATGCACGAGAAACAAATGACAGAGACAGGGAGAGACACCAAATAACTTACCTTTAACACACACCACTCAATAACAATACAAATAAATTACCGAAAAACCACTCGTATGGAACAATGCGTTTGTGTCGCTATCGACTTTTTTGTTAAAACGCATTATTCCATCACAAAACATCAAGCTACATACGGTTAAAGAAAAGGAGAGATTGTTAGTATAGAAAAATGTAAAAGACATCGCAAGGCATTAAGTAGGAGCGGTGCGATCTGTCGCCTTCAATATCCATAGAGAGCTATGTCGTGTACCTACGGGACCACGTCCACACTGCAGGCAACAACCAAACCTCAATATTGAAGACTAAACACGTGGTAGCAAGCAAATTAGCGGATAGAATAATATCTTTGAACGAGTGCGTTCGCCTCGTGGTGTTTTACCTCTCGTTAACGAGTTTATCAGTGAAAGGATTACGCGGCTGTCGCTTCATAATGTCAGATTCGGCCTCCTCGTAGGCCAGGGAAATGGCGGGCACCTACACAAATACTAGCGATGTGAGCGCCTCGCGACCAAAGCGGTGCACCCACAGTACACGACAACACCGAGCACAGGGCGCGCGCGCGGGCGCCACGTGACCCGCCGGCGGGGCTGGCGGCCGACTCTAGCCTTTATTGATTGACTGCCATAAAGTCGATTTCTGATTGGCAATTCATTTGCAACAGTTTCAATGCTCGCTCATAGGTTCAAAATTGAAAGTCTGGTTACAGATGAAATACAGCATCTAAATGTCATTTTAAAATGACTAATTTACGGTTTATTTGTTAGCCTTTCTTGGCAAATAAAATTAAGCTTTCAAGCTAGTTTAGAAATTAAACGGTCAGCAGCTTGCAAAATTTTGAAGGTCCTTTATGGCAGTCAATCTTTAATCGAACTGGCTGGTACACTTGCTTCCTTTGACCGGTAAAATGGTCCACATACAGAAGTCAAGCGACGTTCACGTGGCACCCGCTCGCAGCGCGGCACTTATACTATCAGAAACATAATCGGAACACATAAACAAAACGTTGATCATGGCATGACGTCTGTGTGGGTGGGCTCCTCCGATGTGGAACGTAAATTTAAACAAATGAACCATGAGTGAGGGTGACCGGTAACAACAACCGCAATGCTCGGTTTCGGTCATGATGATGGGGTGACGTGACATGACATGTAACATTAGTGTGTTGTGTCTTTCGTTGTAATCTAGGTAACCTGCACGGACGAGCGTCTACGCCCTCGGCGTAGCTTTCAAAAACATCCAGGAATTAGAACAAACAAAACACATCTAGATTATTGTCTTTTTACAGGTAGCTTCTCGTATCTTATAGAGATATTTCATTCGAGAACTTTTTTCTACTATAGCAAAATTTATTAGTTCGCCTTAACGAATCCACATTTTCCATTATACCACACCAATTAATGTCCTCCATTTTACCTAATCATAACTGTATGTTTCTATACATGTGACTATTGAGCGAAGTAAAAAGGTCGTTATGATTGAGTACAATAGAGTCGTAATTAGGAAGACATCCACTCGTCACGATATCGATCACAGGCGTTATTAGCTGAAAACGAGTTAGTAGTTACACGTCAACACTTATGCAACACGCAATAGAGACCTCTCATTGACTAGTTTGTCGCAAAATGGGTTCCTAGGCGGGCGTTTCATTATGTCTGCCTCGGCCGCCTCGTACGCGAGCGCAATCGCTGGCACCTAACGTCAACATCTTATTAATATTACATTACATAAACAGTTCATCTGCTGGATCTCCAAAGCTTCAAAATCTTAAGGAAAACATTCGACTTTGAACGACTATCGTTTGAGAGTCATAAGACAATAAACAAGATCATGAGATGGGTGATCCAATACCTCAAGGGACAGTCATTCATGTCGACAATTAATAAGTTATTAAAACCTTAAAGAAAATCCAATTTCTGAAGCTTTTTCATTTGTTTTCAGAGTTTAATAATGCCATAATTAGGTATTATCTTTTTTATCGCCCAATCAAAGCTTCAAAAACTGTTAAAGAAGTTAATGACATTTCATTGAGAAAGTATTCTCTCAACTTTATCATATTTCTGTTTTTATACTTTTATTCCCACTAGCACAGGATTGAAAATTCAAATATAAATCCAAACCCCAGTCCTTTCCCAATGTAACGTCTTCACAGAGAAAAATAGACCGTAAGTTGCTTGTATTAAATTCGAACTTACCATGTCGGTTCCAAGATCGATGCAGAGGATAGTTACAGTGCCGAGTGGCAGGGGAATGTCGCAGAGGATGAAGGCAAGGAAGGGAGAGATCTCAGGGATATTGGAGGTCAGAGTGTACGCGATGGATTTCTTCAAGTTGTCGAAGATCAATCGGCCCTCCTCCACGCCAGTCACGATCGAGGCGAAGTTGTCGTCCAGTAGGATCATGTCGGCGGCCTATGGACGAACATTGTGTATGAGTGTGGTGGTTCTGGTGATGTAATGCCCGTTTTCACCATCATTCCCTTATTTAATTGACCCCTATGGTAACACATAACAGGAATTTAGTTTTTATAGGGGTTACTTAAAATTAGGGATTGATGGTGAAAACGGGCATAAGACATAGATTTTATTTATGTGTAGGTAAATCTTAACGTTTCCCTTTCCATCATAATGTGAATGTAACAGTTTTTAACAGGAGTTACTGCTTTCTGCTGCTAAGCTAATAAAGTTACAAATATGAGGATTGCTAATAATTATTATAGATGACTATCTGTCAGAAATCTTTATCCAAGACCTAGGAAACCAAATTTTGTAGTTTATCCGCGAGATAAATTCCAGATATGCTATCAGAGACTTCATTAGCAGTGGTGAAACAGGACCGAGCTGTTATTATTCAAGTAGAAATTATTCAAGGTGACCTTTTCAGTGCTTAGTCTGTAGACACGCCCTGACTCCATCTTGTCTGTCTGATATTCGAGCGAATTTGACCCGTATCATACGGGCCGTATGATAACAGAAACAATCTCGTCCTATGATTTATCTGAGGTAAAATGAGCTGTATATCAAAGAGAAGAGAGTACTCACTTGCTTGGACACATCAGATCCGGCGATACCCATGGCGACACCAATATCGGCCTTCTTCAAAGCGGGCGAGTCGTTGACGCCGTCACCAGTCACAGCCACGATGGCGCCGAGGCGTTGGCAACCTTCTACGATGATCAGCTTCTGTTGCGGCGAGGTACGGGCGAATACGATTTCCGTGTGGTACCTAACAGAGGGGAATAAGGTTTAGTTTTGTATCTAACTAGCAAGTGGTATTCGAACGGGTGTCAATTTTTGTAGTTGAGTTCATATTGGTAATGATAGCGCATCATTATGAATTGTGTGCTTAGTAAGAGAGAAGTGTTGCGAAGGCATGTGAGCCAATCGAATTTTTGGATTGCACATAATTTGATAAATTAAACCAATACAGCGCTCGAGATCTTTGGTAAGCTTAACGAGTGAAATGTTTTGATGAGTTGCGAGTTAAATATAGATTGCTGTTTTTGTAAATCTTGTTTTATGAGTCGACGAAGCTTATTATGTGATATAGGTTAGTATATTAGAGATGCTGCAGTTTGTTTCATAGAAGATCCTGTTCATCTGGCCAATATTTCAAACCAGAAAGGTTTTTCAGATCTTGATCTTTCTTAGCTTTAACAGGAAGGCGCTGGATGTAGGCCGCTACCAACTGGTCAATATGGAAATCATTGGGGGAGGCCTATGTTCTGCAGTGGACTTCTTATGGCTGAAATGATGATGATAATTTTCTTTGAAAATGAATCGTACAAGGACCATATAATTAAACTTACTTGAGAATTTCGTCAAGCTGGTCCGAATTTAGTTCCCTCAGCTCAGTGCCGTGGACGACAGCCGCCTTGGCCTCACGTGGGTTGACTTCAGATACTGGGATGTTCAGGCGAGCGGCGATATCCTCAACGGTCTCGTTGCCTTCTGAGATGATGCCTACAGACTTGGCGATGGCCTTGGCAGTGATGGGGTGGTCACCAGTCACCATGATAACCTGGAATAGAGGGGATGGTGAGAAATTGAAAGTTCAGCTAAAGCCCGGTCCGTGAGCACGTAGAATTTTGTCCAATGACCCCTAGCTACCCATCCTTATCGCTCGAGCGTAATTAAGTTGTTATCGCGCTCGCACACTCACTGCGGGTGCCAGTCGCACAGTCGCGACAGCAATATAATTACGCGCGAGCGATAAGGATGGGTAGCTAGGGTCATTGGACAAAATTCTACGTGCTCACGGACCAGACTATAGTTGACTAAGCAATGGCTTTTTAGATGGCACGGTGATTTGTAAGGTTCCCAAAATGGCGTCACCTAATGTTAGGTAATCGGCTTAAGTAATTAATGTTGTTCTATAACAACTACAGCGTAGTACGTGAGTATAATTTTCATGTATTTAGGTGAGTGGAATTAAGCCTCCATATTGTTGAAGTGATAGCTACTTGTTTTAATGTCTTCATTTATTAAGCCTCGAAGTATTTCGTGTGCCCTTTACATGACCTTGAACCAACAGATCAGCTGACGAAATTGGGTCATCGGCGTTCAATTCATAGTATTTTCAGTATGAGCTGAAATGCACTTTATTGCGCAAACGAGTCGGCATTTTGTTCAACTGTCTCCAAGAAGGGATTTACCTGTAATCATTTTTCTGTAACCTTTACTAACCTTAATACCAACCAGTAGATCGGGTCATCGGTGTTCAATTTATAGTTTAGCGCTGAAGTATTCGAGTTATGCATGAGCGTGCTAACCAAAATGCACGTTATTTCGTAGATCAGAGAGTCGCTAAATGCTTGAATATCTTCTGTATCTGTAGTTACTGTTATTCTATGACTTACTGACCTTGATACTAGCAGATCGGCACTTAGCCACAGCATCGGGCACGGCAGCGCGGGGAGGATCGATCATGCTCATGAGTCCCACGAAGCGCAGGTTGTCCAGAGAACATTTGAGGTCGTCAGTATTGAACTTGTATCCAATGGGGTACTTCGAGCCATAAATGGCAGTGCCGACTAAAATGCACTTTATTGCGAAGACAGGAGAGTCGTTATTTGCTTGAATATTACTGACCTTGATACCAGCAGATCGGCACTTGGCCACGGCATCGGGCACGGCGGCGCGGGGAGGATCGATCATNCATTGGACAAATTCTACGTGCTCACGGACCAGACTTTAGTTGACTAAGCAATGGCTTTTTAGATGGCACGGTGATTTGTAAGGTTCCCAAAATGGCGTCACCTAATGTTAGGTAATCGGCTTAAGTAATTAATGTTGTTCTATAACAACTGCAGCGTAGTACGTGAGTATATTTTTCACGTATTTAGGTGAGTGGAATTAAGTCTCCACATTGTTGAAGTGATATACTTGTTTTAATGTCTTCATTTATTAAGCCTCGAAGTATTTCGTGTGCCCTTTACATGACCTTGAACCGACAGATCAGCTGACGAAATTGGGTCATCGGCGTTCAATTTATAGTATTTCCAGTATTAAGCTGAAATGCACTTTATTGCGTAAACGAGAGTCGTTTGTTCAACTGTCTCCACGAAGGGATTTTTCAACCTGTAAAATATTTAGTGACCTTTACTGACCTTGATACCAGCAGACCGGCACTTGGCCACGGCATCGGGCACGGCGGCGCGGGGAGGATCGATCATGCTCATGAGTCCTACAAATCGCAGGTTGTCCAAGAGGAAGTTGGGGTCATCAGTGTTGAACTTGTATCCGATGGAGACGATGGGGTACCGAGCCATGCATGGCAGTGCCGACTAAAATGCACTTTATTGCGAAGACAGGAGATTCGTTATTTGCTTGAATGTTACTGACCTTGATACCAGCAGATCGGCACTTAGCCACGGCATCGGGCACGGCGGCGCGGGGAGGATCGATCATGCTCATGAGTCCTACGAATCGCAGGTTGTCCAGAGGGAAGTTAGGGTCGTCAGTATTGAACTTGTATCCGATGGGGTATTTGTCCGAAGGCAGTTGCAGATCGCAGAAGCCGAGCACACGCTCGCCGAGGCCGCCGAGTTCGAGGTACGCGTTGTTGAACGCTTCCTTCATTTCTTCGTCGAGGACCTGTTGATGATGACGTCATGAGTCTAGCATTTTAATTGCACGTTAAAAAATACTTATTTAAGTACATATGTTAAAGACGAAGTGTGATGTAGTTGAATCGATAAATCTTCTGTAAATGGAATTAGGTTGAAGGTTGCAACTGATTTTCAACTTTACGTAAGTTGCTATGCAGTATCCAAAGTTATTTGAATGACATTTTAAAATTCGTTTTAACGCAATTAAGTCGTAGTTGTCCATAAAATATACCATTATTGCCAAAGAAAACTAAAGGTAAGTATACTTGTAAGACTAAGCTACCTTCTCCTTTCCGCCAATGAAGATAGTGCTGCAGCGTTCCAGAATCCTCTCGGGTGCTCCCTTCATTACTAACAGATGGCGGGGATCGCTGGGGTCGTCGCTCTCGTGAATGGACACTTGGTACTTGTTGGTGGAGTTGAAGGGAATCTCGCAAGCCTTCTTGTTGCGCTTCCTGATCGACAGAACATCTCCGAGGGCCAGTTCCATGCACTTGAGGAGAGCGGCTTCGGACGCGTCACCAGCGACTTCCTTCTTCAGGATGGGCACGCCGTCTTGGCCTCCCTTGAATTCGGCGCGGTTGCAGAGAGTAGCGATCTTGGCGAGGGCTTTGAATCCGGGGCTGGTGCGGTCTGGACAAAGAATCATGANAATCATAACGTCAGGATGATAAGTGAGTGATGATAAAGAATCATAATGTTAGGAACTAATGACAGCGGCTGCCTTGTAATGCTGAAGAGGATAATGTGCATGATAATGTATTAGATTCTTAAGATACACATAGCAGGCTAGCAGCTACTAGTACCAGTGACTAATTTGTAACTTATTTATTTATTAAATATTTTAGTATCTCATTATAAGTGAAATGTAAATTTCTTATGAGAATAAAGTTCTTTAAATCTAACCTAAATGGGCTAATACTATTGACAACATTCAACGTATTTCAACGCGTTAGGATCATAAAACATTAGCGCAGCCAGGCACGAAAATGAACCTGCTTCCTTTCTTTGTATGTGACACGCCCTTTGTATAAAATTGTCCTAGATCTTTAAAATGACTCCTACCATGAACCAATATGAACTCAAACTCACCATATTGTACTCCAGACTGGTCCTCAGTGGTATCAGCTTCAATGATCTGGTTATCGAACCACATGTGGGCCACAGTCATTCTGTTCTGGGTCAGGGTTCCGGTCTTGTCAGAGCAGATGGTAGACGTGGATCCGAGGGTCTCTACGGCTTCCAAGTTCTTTACCAGGCAGTTCTTTGAGGCCATGCGTTTGGCAGTCAGGGTCAGGCATACGGTTACGGTGGCGAGCAGACCTTCGGGTACGTTGGCTACGATGATACCTGTAAGAGAGTGCCAGTTTGAGTTAGATGCCACCAGAAGACTTCAATGATTCTGCTAACAAAATCTTGAAAGTTTTGACACCAATAACGGTTTAGGGTGGATTCGACCAAACGAGTAAATATTAATCTCGGAATAAATCGTCATTTTTTCGACATTTTGACATATTTCCCATACTGAAACTTTCAATATGTCAGTTATACCAAGAGTTGTTCTCGGATAAAAGTTTGGTCGAATCGAGCCTTATTTGACTATGTTCACTCGGGTGAAGAAAGTGGAATTTATGGTGACTTCATATCACCTTGGAACATATCACCCAGGTGAAATGATTTTGACTCATCTGGATGATTTTTTTCACCTTAGAACTGATTCATCCAGGTGAACAAAGCCATTTTTTTATTAGACTTGTGACCTTCTATCACGCATCATCTCAACGATGTAACTGTAAAACTTACCGATAAGGAAGATGACAGCGTCCAGCCAGTGGTAACCAAGGATGAAAGCGATGACGAAGAAGGTGACTCCGAGGAATACGGCCACGCCCGTGATCAAGTGGATGAAGTGGTGGATCTCCTTAGCGATGGGGGTCTCTCCCGTGTCCAAACCAGAGGCCAGACCAGCGATACGGCCCATCACCTACAAACGTAGTTACTTGTTAGTCATTGAATCATACAGTAAGTGTCATATACTTCGTGACACTCAAAGTGGGCAAAAAGTTGAAAACACATCCTTATTCCAATTGTAACAAAGACGTGCTGCGAACTTTTTGCCTACTTTGTGTGTCACGAACTATTTGATGTTCACTGTACATGAATTCCATACTATAATTATGTATGAAGTTTACTATACTGTCTGGCAGGAAAAGTAATTTAGTCTCGTAATGATTATTGTCCCACTTTTTTTAACAAAGGGAAGTTAATCAACCTTAATGGATGACCAGTTAATTTAGACTTCATAGTGGAAAATTCCGCAAACGTGATCAATGTTCATGTGCGCTATAGTTAAATTGGTCAAGGCTGCAAGTGCGTGTGCACCAATACATCATGGGGCTTATGGGAATCCTTGTTATGTTAATTTATGGCGTACTTTCAGCTATTTTTAAATGACTAATAACAAATAGGACAAGTATAGACTATTCTAGTCTAGTTCTGTCCTTGGATATATTTTACTCGAAGTTTGATGTAATAAAAACGTATTACTGAAGTAAACCCCTTTATGTGAAAGAATCGTTTCAATAATTTCCTTTCACTCGTGATAACGGAAAATAAAAATAACCTCATATCATTTTTTACAAAACAATTTATGACTCAAAAATATGAAATGTTTTAACTGCCACCTTGCCGATAAGCGGGATAAAATGCAACTTTTGGTGTCAAAATCCTAATTCAAATTCAAATTGTTTATTACATGAAACACGGTACTTATATGGGTTATGGTTATGGCTATACTATGGGTTGGTATCTTACCGTGTTATCTCCGCAGCAGATGACGATTCCCTTCGCGGTGCCCTCAACAGCGTTGGTAGAGAAGAAAGCCAAGTTCTTGGTCTCAAGCGGGTTCTCGTTGGTGAATTCATGACCACGGGACTGGGGCTCGGACTCGCCGGTCAAGCTGGAGTTGTCTACTTTGAAGCCTCGCGCCTCGATGATGCGGATGTCAGCTGGGATGCGGTCGCCGAATTTCACCTACAGGAGACACAGTTTTATAAGAATCGGTAACTTAATGACTGTATCATTTACATTATTTGATCAAAGTAATCAAAATGCAAGTTATGTAGTGTAGTGTCAAACACATTTAGCACTATTCTTTTATCTTCTGTTTACGAAACTACCATAAAAATGGACATCTTCATTATGTATCATCATTATCATTTCAGCCACACGTCGCCTGTTGAATATAGGCCTCCTAGATTGGCCGGTTGGTAGTGGCCTGCATACAGTGCCTTCCTGCTACCTTGGCCGATGGGGCAGCAAGATTCTGGATTGGAGGCCACGTACCAGCAAGCGTAGCGTAGGACGTCCACCATAAGGTGGACAGAGAACCAAAAAATGATCAGTGTCAAAAGACATCAGTAGGCCTAGGATGCGCGCCGTAATAAGCTTTTATCGCGCCATGTCATCAATAAGATTTTATCACGGCGCGCTAGAGTCGCATAAATCTGAAATGGCACTAAAGTACAGAAGATAACCAAACCCACCTCAACAATATCTCCGAGTACCAGGTCTTCCGCTCGCAGCGTCAGCTTCTCACCCTCGCGGATGACGGTAGCAAACTGGGGCACCATGTTCTTGAAGGATTCCATGATCTTGGACGACTTGCTTTCCTGGTAGTACGAGAATATGCCCGTGACGATCACCACAGCCGCTAATACGATTCCGAGATACAAGTTGTCGTCCGCTGGTTCTTCGACGGTACTCGCCTAGAAAGGAAAGATTATTATGGTGCGTCCACATTGGGCGCACGGGCTCGCGCGGCACGCTGGTCATCCTGCTCACCCTGCTCTTGAGTGAGCAGGATGTCGAGTTTGCCGCGCGAGGCCGTTCGCCCAGCGTGGACACACTATTATGAATAACGATGGCTTTGTTTTAGGTTTATGATGTACAACGCCACTTCAGGCTATGAGTAGAGACGACAGCACGTCAAGATGGACACGGTGGCTTCTTATGTGCCTAGTAAAAGAGGCGATTTTGCAACAAAAAAAGTATAGTCTGTTGTGATGTTGTCTGTCGACATTGAATGCTATAGTCTTTTAGCTTGATGTGACGTCTATAGTACTATGTGATGATGTTTTAGGTGTATCAAAGCTCTGTCTTCTTATACTAACAGACTTGAACTTCCAAGAAAAGTTATAGCGCATCAAGGAATGAGTTAGTAATACTACCTACACCACTGTACAATAATACTGTTGTTTTGTAAGTCATACTCCAGAAATGTCCGACACGTGTCGCTCAATGGAAAGTTTGAGGCACGGTCAATAAATTTAACAGTTACCATTAATTTCAGAATAGCAAATTCTAGAACAATTGTACATAAATTGCATCTCTAGGAGCCAAGTTCAAAATAATCTTTAATGGAACGTGCCGATTGAAGATTGACGAGACTGTGCAATGAAGACATACTGACCTGAATTCCGTAGGCAATAAAGCATAGAATAGCACCAATCCACAATAATAACGCGAAGCCGCCGAACAGATTTTTACAAAACTTCACCCATTCGGGCGTCTGTTTTGGCGGGGTGAGAGCATTTGGACCGTCCCTTTCCAAATTCTCTTTCGCTTTCGCATGACTAAGGCCCTAGAAGAAAAAAAAAACAATTCACAAACGTCATCCAAATAGACCAACAAATAAAATTAGCCTTTAGGTCTTGACTGGTTGAATTGAACTTACATTTTCTGGATGTGTCTGAAATCTTTGGTAGAGCTCCTCTGGTGTTACTTTGTGAAAGTCAATATCCAACTCCTGCTTGAGATCATCTAAGTCTCCTGCTTTCCGTTTTTTTGCGGGGGGTTTCCGGCGTGTCTGGAATGCACACCAAATACTTATTAGCGACAGAGTTATTTACATACCGTCATATACATAACGCACAGTCAATTGTAACATTGTTTATCAAAGCTTTAACATTAATAGTAAAACAGCTTGATGGATCTGTGTAACAAAATGCATAGTCGAAATGGTTCGAAGAAAAAAATACAAAAACAAGCATGCAAGAGTCCAGTGGCGGGTGACATGGTCAATACTGCTGTCACAACAAAAGAAGGCACTTCTTAGACTTGAATTAATGTTTCAGCTTCTGATATCTCTTTCAAATGAAAATAATATAAAACAAGAAGAAATTATGTCCCTTTCTTGTCTGATCTTAAAGTTGCAAGTTGACTGGCAAAATATTGGTATCAACCGCCACTGGTTGTCACAAAAATGAAAGATGGTAATGCAAATAAAAACCTTGTACTGCCCGTCTGCGGTTCTATTATCATCCTTTATGGGCCCGATGGTCGCGACGCGGTACGAGTCGGTACGGCCATGCTGCAAACACAACTAGGGGCTAGACACATTCTACAAGGCGGCCCTACAGGCCATGCTCATGGATGGGGTGGAAGTGGCCAACAATGATATCGCATGGTTTAATGTATGATCTAAAACAAACACAGGAATCATTTTAAGGGTACGAACGAACATTCATCACGGCCATGCAATATCTATGCTCAAAATAAAAAAGTAGCTAGAGTAGGTAAAGTACCAAGGGAATGGATTTTAAGGGAAGAAATCTGAATCAAAATCCATTTCCTTGCATGAAAATTTACTATGGCATATTTATACTGTAATGCATTGTAATATAGTGACCATTGACAACGTGGTATGTGTAACTAAACAGCTATAGTGAGCGTCATTCAGCGACTCGCACACAGCAACTGATAATACAGATCGCGTGGTTATAACCTTGCCGAACGTACACACTATAGTCCTGCTAGGGACCAACTCAATGGCACTCAATTGATCTGAACTAGTTGCGCGTGCGAACCTGAGCGCGGTTGTAAGGACACCGCAAACCTCGATGCATGACGACTTTACCAATTGTGATTTCGTTCAAAAACCAAGATTTATTATACCTATTGCTTCAAACTCCTAAACCGAGACTCAACCCTGAAATGATGATTTATGAAGAGATTTTGACGTGGACCACAATTCTGCAATTACGTAAACGCTGTTATTAAACCCACGTTCATCGCACACGATCCCAAAGCTTATATGTGTCCAGGAAACTGTGTCAGCTCTTACGTAAGTGCAATAACGCATTGTGTTCAATAGGGGCGGTAATGTCACTGCTTCTAAATGCGTCCGCGCTGCCGTAAACAGGCGAGCTGCGCGTCGCCGTCGATAATTGATCAACGTTTTCATGCAGGCCTCATTAAACCGCGCCCTGAATTCTGCTGAAGGTCACGATGAGAATAACTGGAGCAAATTGTGGGAAGCGCGAAGCCTAAGACTCGAGCGCATTACCTACCCGCATAGAAACGGGCGACGGGAGGCTACGGCTAGATGGTTTACTGCCAGCACTTAATTAAGTGCCATAAAGGCCGCCATAAACGCGGCAAAGGGGATGATGGAATATTCATACGGCATAAGATCACGTTAGCCGAAGTGGCAGACATGCGGCAGCATGTTCGGCCCGCATTACATAAGCGGCGGACTCCGGGCATGCGCAGCGCGACCCAACCCCCGCTACCCTCGACATAAATAGCTAAAAGACAAGGTTGCCACCCCCGGACCCCGGCGACCGCATTTATAATCTCTATAAAGGTTAAACCGGAATATCTGATGGAAAATCGAAACTGGTTCTGGTCAGAATGAAATGTTAACACCGTCCGAGGGGTAGACGAGCTCATTTAGTGTCTTGAAACGGGTTGGTAAGTGACAAAGATTTAGAGGGGTTTCGCCAAGAGCAAGTCTTGGTTGGGGACACTATTCAAAAGTGAATTCGTCCCGTTTGCAATAGCCGGTTCTGTCAAAGAGCGATATGAATTTTGAAGGGCCGTTGAGTAAATTTGTTTGGCAAGGTTCGCCTGACTTTGAACGTATTTTAGGGATTTTAAAAGGTCATCTGTATTAACCGACTTCTGATGATTTAATGTTTTTCTGTGTAAACTTACGAATATCCGTTTAACCTTTATAGATTTAATGTTACACGAACCAATTAATCTAATAAATCGCCCGCGTTACTTTAAGATACGCATTCGTATTACGAAACCGAGAAGTCGGTCGGTCGGCGTACGTATCTAATATAAAAGTCATGTGTTCCACTAACTCTAAATAGAAATGTCAATGAACGTTCAGCCGAAAGATTCATTGCCACGGTCACAGAACTGCTTTGTACCGAAAATTAGTGGTTACTATCGTAGTAGATGCATGACGTGTGAATGAGACAATTATTTTTAACATTAATGAGACGACGCATTCCGTGACACCCCGGCCGGTGACGACACGCGGCGCGATCGTGCCAAAACATAGGACGGGACAGTTAATTTCACGTGCAGTCGTTATATTAATAACAGACAGACTTTGAACGCGGGAGAAGTGTCATTGAAGCTTTTACTAAATGCGCTTTGGGAAGATTGACCATTTAGCCTAGACGCAGACTACAGACTTTTAGTCGGCCGATAGTTGGGTCTGATTCTAATTTGTATGAAGAATTGGCCGATCTAATTTGCGCACTTTCATAAATCTCCATACTGATTAACAGCCCTACTCAACTATCGGTCAACTAAAAATCGGTGGTCTGTGCCTAGCCTTAGGTAGGTACTCCCATAAATTCACAATGTCTATTTCATATAATATTCTTAATTTAAATGATTAATTGACAATAACTAACGATAAGAATGTTAATTCAAAATAAACTATGTACTGTTGAAATGCTACTGATAAAATGATACTGTTAGAGATATTAAGTGATTAACTCTACATTTATTACAATTAAGTCAGCGAAAGACTTTTGCAAATAACGACAATATAAACGATAGATAAATACTAATACCGTTGAATAATAAACCGTGTTTACCTAATAATGCCGTATTAAAGTGCAATTATAACAAATTAAGCATAATTAAGATAACCTTATCAAGGTTGCATAAATATTATGCATTCTATTTTTTAAATTATATTATTAAGAACATTGACCACAGGACGTCCGAAGTGACTAACAGTTAACCAGTTAAACTGAGGTTAAAGATAACTCCAATTACTTGAGGTACTATTACAAAAAGATTATTTAATTGATGATAACAATGTTAAGTTTTTCTAGAAATGTATTTAAAGAAAGAGAATAAAATTATTAAATTAATCTTTTATGCTTTTTATAATTCGATTACTTTAAAATCAGTCAGTAAATAACGCGAATAGAGATAATCCGATCATTTTTGAGATTATCAAAGTGTCCTTAATTTGAAGCATCTTTGTAGCAGTTACTTTGTTAGTTTAATATTACTAACACGTCCTACTTTAAAACAATGATAATGTAGCTATCAATCGAGATTATTATTAGTATAAGTTTAAAAAAAATATTTCTTTAAATATTCTTAAAATATCGTTAGACTAAATATTTATCCACCGTTACTAGGAAAAACGCGAGATCATCGAAACCATGTCATGACCTAAGTCTATACACCTGCTGATGGCAGACATAGCTAACAAAATGTGCAACTAATTAATCCTAGTTTATCTTCTAGTTATGTGCATCAATTTCTTAGTTACTATAACCAATTGGCCCGTCATGTGAAAATCATCATCGTCAAATATGCACACAAACATTGACAAAGGTGATATGATGTATAAATGTATGTCGAATCGAGGCCGCATTCGATGTAAATGTGATTTATGGTATTTTCCATTGAATATGCCATGTATGATGCGACAACATCTTTAAAAGGATATGATTGATGTCTGATAAATAACTTATTACATGCTTTAACATTTCCATCTGTTACTGTTAGGTCCTGCACTGTATAAATGATACTTATTTTCTTCCGGAATTTTAAAAGTAAGTTATTTATTTTAAAATTTATTTTCCTATAGTTATTTAGTGTGATGTTTCTTTTAAATTAGAAACGTACCCATCGCTAGCTATAGCTTTTTTCTTGTGCCAATAGAAACCCTAGGGCGTACAGATACCACTTAGGTAACACGGCAAAGCTGACTGAAGGGAGTGGTAACCAATTACGTAAAAAAGATTTTATAGCAAAATCTAGTTCTAGAAAGATGTATAAGATCTATTAAAGATGTATTTATACTATTAAAACTATTGCTAAGAGTTAACTCAAAAAACGTAGTGCTCCTAGAGTAAGGTTGAAATAGTCAACTTCATGATAGAAAAGGGGAGTTCTGAGAAAACTATCCTAAAACAAAGGTTTCTGTAGCACTCTTTAACTAATTTACGCGTGCTTAGACTAAGACAATTTGGAAACTCCCCAAGGACCGTCTAGCATCCTAATTGATGCATGCTGTCGTCATAGAGGATAAAGGAAATACTCCAATAGAGCGACGGTGCTCTATGCGATTTAAATGACATAATGACGAGGCAATTTTCTAATAAACCTTCGCTGGTCCGTGTCCAAGCACGTAGAGATAGCAAAATCCGGATTTTTCTTAAATCCGGTTTTCCGGATTTGTGTTACGTACAAATCCGGATTATCCGGATTTTTCGAATATTGGGTAATTTTTTTAAACCATCAATTTAATTTAAATAAAACGTAGTTTTTTTCAAAAAGATGTAAGTATTTGAAAAAAAGCGTTTTATTTTATTATCGCGCATGGAATTTATTCCTCTTTTTTTCGGTTTGCGCTACAAGCTTTCGAAATTATTTGAACTATGCATTATTTTTTTCGTTTTAGTACAACTGCATTTCAGAATAAAAACTTGCTTGTACCTATAAAATATTTTTTTTTANGTCCGTGTCCAAGCACGGCGCTCCCGACAACCTGTTAGCAACTTCCTTCGGAGCACCTAGCGAATCTTCTTTGTAACTACACTAGTGCCTTGGCATGTTCGGACCCCTGAAGCTAAAGGAACCCCATTGAAATGAGTTCTGAAGTAGGTGTGCCATGATTTTTTGATCCATGTAAAGTGACCGTAAAGAGAATTGTAACAAAAGTAATGAAACACTGAGATAACTAAGAAGAAGACTATTTCGATGATATCATGATATTCTGCATTTTTGAAATCTTTATAATTTTCAGAATGACCATCTACCTAAATCAAAATGGAAGAACTGCGAGGCGTTTAAGTAAAGCCTACTTACTCCTAAATATGTTCTGCTTAATTTGAATCCTATTTCTAGAGATCTAAAAGAGAGTATGTTCTAGTTTCATATTCAATATGATTATCACAGATGGATCTGTGAAGAGAAGAGGCATATGGAAGAGCAAAGTGTCTCGCGCTCCGCACAGATCGATACAGACAAGTTACGCAACCCGGCCGGCGCCGTTCTCACAACTGTGATATCGCCTTTATTTGACATATTTCACCAATTTACTGTTTTATACCCCTTTCACAGAAATAAGAACATACACCCCGAAAATATGAATTATAAAATAGTGCAAGAAAAAATTAATTGTGAGAATTCAAGCTTGAATAGATTCGTACTCTAATGATAGTGGGTTTGGGAACAGTCGGTGCAAAAAACTAATGTTGCACTTTTCTTGCGCTAGCAGAACAAAGGCAGTGTAACGTGCAGATGAAGTTCTGCGTGACCTATGGGTCATGCCCAGAAGAAATCAAGCACTGATCACGATAGTTAGGGACTGGCGAGCTGCGGCTCCTTCGGCTTCAGCACTCACTTCCTCGACATGCACTTGCACCTCACGAAAGCACTGGCCTCGTACTTCAGGCTGGCTACTGCAAACGCTAAGGCAAGCACTACTGCAAGCACCGCACTCACCTCGCCCATTTTCGCTAGTCTTTATAAAAAGGCGGATAAAAAGGTGTAAGCCGCCTCTTGGTCTCGCCTCTGTCCCTCAACGGAATGGGGTGGGTCGTCGCTAGTTCTGCAACAACGGGGACCTTTACGGTTTCCTCGTTCCAACGAAAAAACTTAAAAATATGTGCGCTTCACGTAGTCTCGTTGCACGGCACTAGGGCTATGTCATCGTGGTACGAAACTAAAACCCGGTATGAGTATGAGCGCGGATGGCCAAGGCGCGACGTTCGGCGGCCTGGTTCGGGCGGCGACTGACGATGGGGCCAGCGCGTATTGAGCCGACGGCGCACTGACGTCACACTGCGTCACGACGCCAGCGCTGCCGCCGCGCCGCCACCGTCGCGCGCAGCCGCGCAGGGCGCCCTCTACCGTCGCGCCCGCCCCTCGCGGCACCGCGAGCTAACCTTCCACAACCGGTACGATGACAGCCTTCCTGATCAACGCCATACCCCGAGTCGCATCCTAATATCCTTACATTTATCATAACGCAAAAATGTTACTTCTTTAAATCAGATAACAGCGACGTTTTCAGATATCTGCAGTCAGTCGACGGCGGTGATAAAAATTTACGAGGAACTTGTTGGTAGGGCGGCGGAGGCAGACCGGAGGATCGTTTTCGGCGCGCCCAACCTTAATGTAATGTTGAATATTGACAGACGGCTTTATCTTGAGAATGAATTTTAAACGAGAGAGTATTTTCCTTGCATTAAGGATACCGGATAAGGGTGAAGTAGGTTATTTACTATGAAGGGCGACTAGACTATTCATAGCTTTTGAAACAATGTGTGTCCAGATTTAAATCATGCGTGTAGTAGATTTGATTTTATCGAACTGTATAGAAATTTTATATCGAAAGAATATATCTGAGCTCGTTTTATAGCATTCGTTTTATGATAATGTCATAACCTCCGTACATAAATAAATTGTAGACGTAAACATTTTATTGCTGAGCCCGTTCTAAGTAGCCGCGATTCCCGGCTGACTAAATCCGCGAGTCTCGCCTTTGGAGCGCTCCAAAATTTATTACCTCACCATCGAGAAATAGAAACCCACATTAAAACCGAAAAAGGGCTTCGGACGCATTACATTGGCTCCATTAAATCCTTTGTCCGAATGGAAGTGCTAGTGAAAAATATCAGCCGCGCGGGTCTGACCTTGAAAGGCTACGAATTTTATGACTCGGATTTAGAAATAATTTTCCAGGTCAAATTATATAAAAGCTACTTATAGAACTTGGGTTGGTAAAGAAGAATAGTCGCTTCACTGCCTTCATTATCAAGTCCATGAATTTTTCATTGCAGCATAGATTGGTGGTGCACACAGGAGGCTATATTTAGAAAATCGATAAAATAAATTGCCTTAGTAGAGCAGTTTGCTGCACATTCGGTGCTATGTATGTACGGCAGTAATGATCGATTTGATTCGGCCGCCATCAGCCCGCCAGGATGATACACGAGGCGCGCCGCAAAATAATATTTGTACAGATAATTAGGACGGAAAAGTAATCAGGAACAAGAACCAATAATAAAGTATACCTTAATGTAAGTTTGAAATAGGTTGATGGATAAATTGATCAGATCGTTGTACAAACAAGAACTTCGTCGTTTATCTGAAGTTAAGCGAAACTCAGAGAGCAATGAAAATTGCAAAAAAAGAAAAAGAGCTTTTGGGAACATTTTGTATCCGAGCAAATTTTCGTACGGCTTTGTAACTTTTTTCAATTAGCAACAGACGAAGTTTCATAAAAAAGCAGCCTTTTTTATCGTTGCGAATTCGGAAGCCTGTTAGTCTATCAAGTGGCTACCGTGGCAAGTTGGCAACTCCGTTTCCGGGCGGCCAGGAGCGCCACCTGTCCGATATTAATTTCCGGCGCTTGACGGCCTGACCCGCGTAATTACATGTCAGCAAATATAGACATATCTCGACCGTCCATCCAAAGACCAACTTTCCGACTCCACTTGGTCACGTAATATGGCCCTTACATTTTATATTTAAGGGGGAAACGTGCCTCCTTAGCAGTCCCGTAACTCTGCAAGTTTCGCTCGTGAAGGTGTTACTGGGCAATAAAAATCTGCACCGCCTGACCGTTAACGGGTTCAGAATATTAAATCGCTGTCGCCGATACAATTACAATGATGAGGTGAGGTAAATGCTGAAAGCGCTGAGGCAGGGTAGTGGCATTTTATTCGCAATCTCCCGCAGAGGCTGTGCCTCCTCGCAGCACAATAAAACGCAAAGTTGCACTTTTCAATTTCAGCGTCCGCCATGCCCTCGCTCTGAGCGTATTTTTCATTTTACCGGCTCTGGACTGGAACGTTAAACAAAAGGATTTTTCTACTCATTGTTCCAGTTGATTCATACTCGCAGATGTTTTTTTTTAATTTCACATGCAGAAAACATAACATTCGTCATTATAAATTCTGAATTGTAGTTATTATTGTCGACAAATGTACGGATCAATACCATTGCAATATGTCACTAGGACACTATAAAGTACGCATGCACCAGTTTGCTTGCTACCTGGGAACCACCCCCGGGTCCCCGGGGCATAGGTCAGTTACTAATGCGCCCTCTGTGCATGTCATATTCAAATAGCAAGCGCCACTAGGGAAGCTATTAATATTTTTGCTAAGTCATAGAACACGGAACGAGTAAAGTAACATTTATGAGTTTCATGAATAACAAGCTTAATATGTTTTAGAACTGACCTGAAATAACAAACAAGATTTTGGGGTAGCATCAGTGACTGGGTCACTGGATACCGGTCTTATGTAGACGTCGAGTGGACAAAGAGATTTTAAGCGGAGATAAGTCAGAGGGGTGTTCTTGATGTATTATGTAAGGCATTAGTATCAGAGCGGTGGGCCATTCCTTCGCCGTGGACCGGCATGATATGAAAATTCGTCGTGGAGCGACCGGCGGGTGAAGGGTGTTCGCGAGGGGGTTCGGTTTGGGGGCGGAGGGTGCACGAAGGCTCTATTTGGGTCACCCCGGGCGTCATCCCCACGATCAATAGCGGTGCCGGCGCGCGCCGTTGGCCCTCTCGCTCTCGCGCCGCCAGTTACCTAACGCGTCTCGCACACTGCCCCACCGACATTAATTATTTTCCAAATCGCCTCTTATACCAGCTATTTAGCCTAAACTAAGAACTATAGACCCATTCTGTGCCTTTTGCCTGGCCTTTTAACTGGGCAAACATCGGGATCACGTACGTAACGACGTGAAAAATTCACAAACCACTTGCAGGATCCACCCCCGAACGGTCTGGATCCTTCCTAGAGCGACTTTGTTGAAAAAGTTACGTAACATGGAACAATAGACATTATCGTAACCCATACGAGAGTTCTGATCTGAAAGCTCTTAGAGCAAAGGAAATTAAAACGACTAAGTAAGATTTAGCAATTCCGCAAGTTGGGACCTATATACCCATTTTATTAGTTGACTCCGCCCAAACGGCCCACATTTAAAAGTGTGCTGAAAGCTTTTAATAAGGCGTTCCTAGGGAGAGGGGCTGAACTGAGTCTGAGAGGCATAATAAATATTAGTGGCGAGACGATGCGCTGCGAATGCTAACTACGAAAGTAGATCAAACTCATTTTATTACGAGTGTGGAGCAAGTTCCACATAACTTATTTTGCACATTAACAACGTTATGCATAGTGGAACATATTCATGGTCGTTAAAAGCACCTAGTGCAGCGGAACAGTGGTAGCCACTAGTCCCCGTCGAATCCTCGACATTTGCATTTTAACTGGATCGTGTTCAACCAACTTTTTACATTAAAAGCAGCATCAGACGGAAAACTTTTCTTGGGAAGTCATTTAATATTTTATTCACGCATCTTTTTTATCCCTTCATTGGATTTATTACAACGGATGAATCCCTGTTTATGCGTAAGAGAAATCTTATGTTTTCTCCTTATTTTCCAATTGGAATGTCTACTTATGAGATTGTTAATCTGGTAAATGGGTGTGAAAGGTATTCGGGAATTTCTTATTCAAATATTGTGGATGTCCCTGTTTATAAAAGGAGAATGTGCTTTAGATTACCACCTGATACAAATATATCACTGGCACCTCATCACTTAATAAATCCATCCGCTCCTCTTTTGTCGCTGACATGACGTACTGTTGAGGACTAAGACGAATGAGTTTGTAACGAGTATGTGTAAGTATTTCCAGGCTACACGTGCGTAGTAAAATATGTATTGTTGGGTAAAACGCATAGAACGCTGTTCGAATGATCAGAAATAGTCTGGCGAGTACTTTATTCGAAATAGAAGGTACACGTAGTTACAGTGACGTGAGCAAAGGTGCCAAAAGATGGCCATAAAACTCCTCGAGGTATTGTAAACCATTTGACAGCATGGCGGCGATCAGCTTTGTACTGTAATTGTGAAATTAATTATTCACGGATAACACATGTTCAGTGCGATTATAGAACCGTAAAATGTATGCGTTGTTAAATGAAGTAATAAAATTCAACTGTTATATAATAGTCGCAATGACATCATTTCACGTAGGTACGTTCTCTACGCTGCATTTTCGTTGCAATGTTCTCGTATAAGAACTAAAAAGTACCTATAAACACCAATTTTTTAGATCCTCTTAATAAATTATAATACGTGTATAAAAAATATCGTTACTGAGTCTGTTCAATGTCCAAAAGACTGTTGGGCGGACAGGACAGTAGCACAGGATTCCTTGTTTTATTTTAAATCGCAGTTTGTCCAATTAAAAAGTTTGCTCGCCAGTATTGCCATGCAAAATTTTTATTGGTTTTACACTGTTCAGTCAGCTTACATGAATATTCTTGATTATCTAGATTTAGAGTTCCAATAATAAAAGATAGATTTATTTAAAGAAATCTAACTATTTACTGGAAGAAAGTTGGGGTTAGACTTAGAACCTTCAGTATTATGTACACAAGATATAGAATACAGTGTGAGTCACGTTAAAGTGTACATATGAAAATAGATGAAACTAGACCTATTTTTATCGACAAAAAAGAGGTCAAAAAATTTTTGAGATTTTTTAAAAAAAATTTATAGAATTTGTTGTGATAGGGATAGAGAAATACAATTTTTGGTTTTANTTCTATCCGCCAAATCATTTTGGCACACGATGCGCCAAACACCCTGTATAATAGTCGCAATGACATCATTTCACGTAGGTACGTTCTCTACGCTGCATTTTCGTTGCAATGTTCCCGTATAAAAACTAAAAAGTACCTATAAACACCAATTTTTGAGAT